TTAAATGGAGAGAAAATGTTTTGAGAAACGATGTACAAATGCGCTTTACACAATTGATGTGTGTATGGATTGGGATAACAGTTGTATGAGCCCCAAATAAAATGATTTTTTTAAAAGAAAAAAAAACAAAAACAAAGATCAAGATAAGGGAATCTTCTAGAAAAATTAAGCAACACACATATACCCGCAAAAGAATAAAAACAAAAAGGGAAACTGGAGAGAAAAGATAAGAAAATCAAAGGCCCAAAATAGGAAGTAGAGCATACAATAAAGCAACAGCTCCCCATAAATCCAGCAGAGGAAAGCACAGGAGGAAGTGCTCGGGAGAACTCCTCAGTAGTGAAGGACAGAACCGGCAGACTGGAAACTCCGATTCTGACTCATCGAGACCCTTCAGGGTGACCCTCGAGGAAAGAATTGCTCCACAGTTTCTGAGGTTGTAAGTCTTTAGAGAATGGAACTAACTGCCTCATCTTTCTCCCACAGACAGTCTGGGGGATTCAAACCTCAGACCTTTCGGTTAGCAGCTATGTTCAACCCACTCTACCATCAGGGCTCCTTGGAAGCTCCCCCTGCAATTACCCGACATTTGAAAACAGACCAACACAAGCACATAAAATGTAAAAGTCCAACTGCAAAAATGTAGACCACCACAGGCAAAAATATCCGATAAGCTTCCAAGTGAGTCCAAACTAGACATCCATATAAAGCATCAAGAACACAGAACATCTTCAGAGTTCTCAAAAGCAGTCCCATAAACAAGAGGACAAATGCACAAAACTCTGAAAGAAAATTATCTTCAACCTAGAACTCTACATTCAGCCAAACTATCAATCAATTAGAATTTTTTTTTCCCAGATATCCTCAAGACATGCCAAAACAAAAAGACAAACCCACTTCCCACTGCTACTGAGTAATTTCAGCTCATGACCCTACAGGATAAATAAAAGTGCTCCTTGGGGTTTCCAAGACTGTAACACTTTCTCAGAGCAGCCAGCCTCATTCTTTCTCCCATGGAGTAGTTGGTAGGTTTGAACAGCCAACCTTAAATCTTTATGGGAGCACAGAGCCTCATCTTTTTCCTGCAGAGCAACCAGTAGGTTTAAACTGCTGACCTTGGGCTTAGCAGGCCAATGCTTACCAACAACGCCACCAAGGTTCCCTCAAAAGGCATTCTGTACTCTTAAAAAAAAAAGCTCACTGCCAATCGAGTCAATTCTGACTCATGGTGACCCTATAGAACTGCCCCTGTTGAGTTTCTGAGACTATCTCTTTACAGGAGGAGAAAGCCTCCCATCTCTGGAGTGGCTGGTGGTTACACACTGCGGACCTCCAGGTTAGCGGCTCAAGGCGTAACCACTACGCCACCAGGGTTCCTAAGTCCACGAAATGATCAACGCCATATATTCCATCTCAAGAAGCTCTGGACAATGCATGCCACTGAAACTAGAGACAAAAGATGATTTTGGAAACAGGAAACGAGGAGGCTGCCTAAGACCCAACTCCAGACAGACAGACACTCAGGAAATTCTCAGGACAGCCGTGAAGGGAGACTTGGCAGCCACTGCCCAGATCTCTGCTTAGCCTATACCATCTTCATACACTAGGAATGAGCCTGGTGGAGAAGCCCATTTATACCTGGCGTGGCTGGACCACGTACTGATGAAATGCTGCTCCCCTTTTCATACATGACTTTGACATGCATGTCATTCCAGTCAGGATAATCTGACCTGACCGAATCCTGAGAAGGAAGAGAAGTCAATGAAGATTGCAGAAGCTGAAACTACCAAGAAGCCCAGTCCCTCCGACGGTATTTCAACAGCATGACCAACACCGAGTCCACACCACACCTGGAAAACCCCCAGCAAGCTGAGCTGGATGCTGGTCCCCAGTCTGCTGTGCTCACCTCCTCCTGGGAAGCGGCACCCAAAGGGGCAGGGCCAGCTACTCTGAAGGCTAGGTTTGCTCCTACAACCCCCGTTTCTGTGGAAACACCGTAAAACTACAGAGAGAAACACAGGGCAGGCTGGAGGGCAGAGCGGGGCGCAGCGGGCTCCCGACTAAGAACGTCTGGTTCCCTCTCCTGGGTAGGTTTTGATGCACCCAATCCTTCAATTTGGAAATTTTTTTTTTTTTATCGTTTGATTAGGGGCTCATACAACTCTTATCACAATCCATACATACATCAATTGTGTAAAGCACATTTGTACATCCATTGCCCTCATCGTTCTCAAAGCATTTGCTCTCCACCTAAGCCCCTGGCATCAGCTCCTCATTTTTCCCCTCCTTCCCCGCTCCCACCTCCCCAATTTGGAAATTCTTTGACTACCCAACCCACTAAAAGTGACAACGCTACTTACAAAGCTCTGGCGCACAGCAGCTCTCCATCAACCACGCCACAACCAAAGACCAAGACCGGTTTACTTACATGATGAGTCTTCGGTTTAAGAACCAGTATTTCCTCCGGCTTCGGTCGTAGCCAATAGGTTCGTGTCGAATGTAGGGTTTGTTTTTTTGGATTTCAGCCACACAGTCAGTCACTCCAGGCACCTTATGCGCTACGCAGACCTCGCACTGCCACTCGTCCTCGGGCACCTCCTCGAGAGGTGGCTTCACACATTCCAAGTGGTACACGGCTGAGCACGTCTCGCAGCAAAGCAAATCCCCAAGTTTGTGACACACCCGACAATGGTCGTCGTACTGGATCACCCCTTCGGACATCAATTCCTCCCGCGCGATATTGGTGGTGAGAAACTGATCGACCAAGAACTGCAGAACCTTGATTTTGTTCTCCACGGGCCCGTAGGGGTAGTCCTCCGCTTCCTGGTAAGGAAGCACGTGGTGGTACTCCTTGTCACTCTCGCAGTACACCCGCAGCACCTCGGGCCACGTCATGCCGTCAATGAAATACAGGGTGGAGTTAACGCTGTCCTTCAGGTCAGCAGGGCCAAAGGTAGTATTAGAAGTGTCTTCCTCCCGCAAAACGGCCTTCAGGAGCACGACGTGCATCTCCGCCATGAGCGCGCACTGCTCCTGACTCACCAGCGCAGCGCAGAAGTCCTCAAAGCGAAACGGGGACAATCTTAACACAGTGCCAAAGTTCCGCAGGACCTCGTAAATGGCAATGACATTCATGATCTGCTCATTAGGCACCATTAAATCCTCGGAGGACTTGGGGAAGTCGAGGGGCGGGATGTCTTTTTCTTCCAAGATTGGAGACCGAGGTCGATGAACTCTTGGTTTTCGCCTACCTGTAAGTAGAGGCATGACATCATTACAAATCAGTCGGTGCGCAAAGAGACCTCCCGTGTTTCCTTACTTGCCTGTCTACCTCCAGAAACGAAAGCTTCTATTCTGCTCGTAACTGTCAAGTTAAAATAATACCAAGAAGCTACCGTTTATCTGTAAGTCTTTGGTTTATAGACAATCTCAAGGTGTTCCTATTTGATTCCAACCCAGCAGTAAGAATAAAAACTTGTAAGCAGCTCTCACAATTATCTAGACTCTAGATGCAAGAGGAAAGTACTGCTAGATACTGTATATACTGGTGTGTAAGCTGAGTTTTTCAGCACATTTTTAATGCAGTTTTTGTGGTAAAATTAGGTGCCTCGGCTGATATTTGGGTTGGCTTATACTCAAGTATATACGGTAATTTCAATTTTTTCAAAGTGTACTTGTGAGAGACTTAAAGAAGGATTTGATCAGAACAACATTTACATATAAAAAAGCATGGGTATCTGTCACTTGCAACTAAAACACTACTCATCAAAGAAGCGTCTGACACTGCATATGGCAGACTTTGTAGAATGAGAAATGCAGTAAATATTATTCTGAGCCTATCAGTGATTAACAGTTAATATTTACAAATAAAATCTGTTGCGAGAACAAAATCTGTAAAGCAGTAACAAAAAATAGTGTTTGTTTAATGTCCAACTTAATCATATCAGCTCTCACACGTTCTGAAAGATTTCAGGTAGCAATTTCACTGTTCGGGGTTCCTTTAACAGTTCATTTCGCTTTATATTAAACGAAAGCTCTTAAGTTTTCTATTGATAAGGTCCAAATGGTCTACATTCTATATCATCTGGCTGAAAACTAGAAAATAGCCTTTATCCAAACCACATTCAAGACTATATTCAACAATGTGAGTACTTTGGAAAGTTAGCATGAAGTCCCAGTGAGACATTACTGGGAGAGTATGAGGTGGGACTACTTTTGGAAGACACCTGGGCAAGTCTACCAAACAGCATGCCCCTGGTCCCAGCACGCCTCTGTCCTGGAATCTGCTCTACAGATCTCCTCACACGGGCACATAAGTAAGGGTGAAATTACTGAATGGAGCAATAGTTTATGAAAGTAGAAGCTTTGTGCGATTCCCTCACTTCTTTTTAACCTAATTGTACAACGATAAATGATGAATGATGGTACATTTACATAAGAATCAGATCTAACAGAGCATTCCAGTAAAATCCCTATCACTACGGTGAAAACATCTCTAAGACACACTATTAAGGAAGAAAGGCCAGCTCGGCTACAGAACTATAAACAAACACAACAGGGTCTCATCTGAGTAAAGAAACTTAAAAAAAAAGTAATAAACACATTCCCAAGAGGACACAGAAGAATCTTTCTTTTTTTAAAGTAGCTGGTTCCACAAAGAATTAAGGGGTCAGGAGAAGACTAATTTTTTTTTTAATCCTTCTGTACATATATGTAGGTACTTTTTAAAATAATGTTTTAAAGAAAAAAACTAGACAGGTAAAAACATTTATATCTCCAAATGGATAAAAAGCTGCTGTTACTAATCATCACTAAATGTTCTTATATGAATATGAATGTAAGGTCATTATGCAAATTCAAAGATTCGGGATTACAGAATTGAGCACAGATTACAGGGTATAAGAAAACTCTCATAAAATTAAAGCATTTAAGCTACTCGCTGTCAATCATTAGTATTAGCAAACCAAGCCATTTCAGCTATAATGTGCCATTGAGTATATTATACTCATTACTATTTCCAACACTGATCCAATATCTACCAGTTGAATTATACTAATTGCCCTACACTTAAAAAAACATATGTATATACATACATATGAAGGAGGGGGGAACGGGTAGTCACCAGCAAGGGATACAGAAGGAAGAACGTGTTCCGAAGTTGATTGTGGTGACGAATGCACAAACTCTTCCTAATATGAATGAACTATTCAATGGTATGGTATGTAAATTATATCTGAATAAACCATTTTTAAAAATCACCTGAGAAGGGCTTGTTAAAACAAAGGCTGTATGAAAAGTTTCTCCTTCACTAAGTCCAGAACACCAAAACCCAAACCAAACCTGTTGAGTCACAGTGACCCTATGGAGTCACAGTGACCATAATCACTTGGGAAGCTAGGAAAGGTCTCACTAGGTGACTCGGATTTACAGAAGCTCAAGTGAAACTCAGTACACAGCGACCCTATCAATGGGGTAGAACTGCCCTGTAGGTTTCTGTTTACAAGAGTAGAAAGCCCAGTCTTTTCACCCTCAGAGCAGCTGGTGGTTTCAAACTGCAAACCTTGCGGATGGTAGCCCAACACATAACCATTACACCACCAGGGCTCCTGCTGTAAAGAAACGGGACACTTTCCCCAGCCAAGCAGAAGAGCGGCCTTTCTGTGGACACCCAAGCCAAGGAACTCAAAGGCTGCCACCAATAAAGCAGAACTGACTTGACCGGAAGCAAAAGCCTAATCACCAAGCCTGCCTTCCTAGCCTGTTTCAGTATGGAAACTGCTCAAACCTGTCAGCACCACAGCAATATGCACCTTATCCTGTTTATATTTCGGGTCATCGTTAGGTGCCCCAGCCCCTTTGTTAACGTCTTTAGAGCACAGATCATGTCTCGGTAATTGTCATTAAATAAAAAATAACCTGTTCAACTCATAATATCTATAAACCAAACATTTTGCAGAGGGTAGAGGTTCCAGGGATGCAGTTGAGCAAAGATGGAAATCCAGCATCTACTGAAGATTTTCCATAGCGGGCCTCCTATATTTGTATCTTAAAACTTAATAAATGGACTGTTTGCCCCGAATGAAGGCTGAACATGATAGTGGTGCGGGAGGAAAGTGAAAGGAAATAGAGGAAAGAACTGGGAGGCAAAGGACAATTATAGAGGTCTAAATACAGTAATGTATATATGTAAATACATATATATATAATGACAGGGGAATAGATCTATGTACATATATTTATTTAAAAAGTATTATGGTAGCAAATGGACACTGGACCCCCACTCAAGTACTCCCTCAGTGCAAGAACAATTCGTTCTACTAACATGGTACTCTGTGATGTTCACCTTCCCTGACACAATTGCTGAAGACAAAATGGGTGCATAAGCAAATGTGGTGAAGAAAGCTGATGGTGCCTGCCTATCAAAAGATATAGCATCTGGGGTCTTACAGGCCATCTAGCTGAGAAGTAACAAGGCCCACATGGAAGAAGCACACCAGCCTTGTGATCATGAGGTGTTGATGGGATCAGGGATCAGGCATCAAAGACCCAAAACAAAACAAACAAACAAAAAGCACATCAATGGGAATGAGAGGGAGGGCAGAGTGGAGACCCAAAGCCCATCAGTAGTCAATTGGACACCACCTATTGGAAGGGCCACAAGAAAGAGAAGAGTCAGTCAGGGTACAGTATAGCACTGATGAAACACAGAACCTTCCTCTAGTCTAGTTCTTTAATGCTTCCTCTCCCTGCCCCCTGACTGCCCCCTGCTCACTACCATGACCCCAAATCTACCTTACAAATCTGGCTACACCAGAACATGTATACTGGTACAGGTCAGAGCTCGCAACATAGGGAATCCAGAGCAGATAAATCCCTCAGGACCAATAAGGGGAGCAGGGACACTAGGAGGGTGAGGGGGGTGGGGGGAGTAAAGGGGAATCGATCACAATGATCTACGTATGGCCTCCCTCCCAGGGGGACGGACTGCAGAAAAGTGGGTGAAATGAGAGAGTGGTTGGTGTAAGACATGGGGAAAAAAAGAAAGAAAAGAATAATTTATAAATTTTCAAGGGGACATGGGGGGTGGAGGAAGGGGAAAAATGAGGACCTGATGCCAGGGACTCAAGTAGAAAGAAAATGTTTTGAAAAAGATAATGACCTAAATGAATTTTAAAAAAGATGACAACAGATGTACAGATGTGTTTGACACAATGGATATATGTATGGATGGACTGTGATAAGCACTTTAAGAGCCCCCAATAAAATAAGGACTATTTGCAAAAGGTTGACAGGGACTTCTAGACCCCACAAGACAACTGAGTCTTTCTTTTTAATCATTTTATTGGGAGCTCTTACAGGTATTATAATAATCCATAATTCAATTGGATCAAGCATAATTGTACAATTGCTACCACCATCATTTTCAAAACGTTTTCTTTCTTCTTGAACTCTTTGATATCAGCCTCCCTTTATCCCCTTCCCTCAACCCACTCTACCCCCCAGGAACTCTTATTATTATATATATATTAAATATTATGTATATATATTTGCCATATCTAACACCATCCAATGCATCCGTTCACCTACTATTCTGTTATTTGTTCCCCTCGAGTGGGGCTATACAGTCATCCTTGCTATCAGTTCCCCATTCCCCCCTTCTCTTCCTGAACCCTCAGGGAATCATTACTCCCACTACTATTTCTGAAGGGTTTATTATCTATCTTGGATTTCACTCATCAAGTGACCTTTATTATATAAATGAACATACCCAGGTCTCACAAGATTAATGAGGTGAAACTAAGACTGTAATAGTAAGGGGAGGAACTATTAAAGAACTAGAGGATATTATGTATTTCATCAGTGCTATACTGCACCCTGGATATATCTATCATCCCTTCCATGTGGCCCTTCTGTGAGGGACAACCGAGTTTCTTGAGGAAAGAAAATGGAATCTTACTTAGCCTCTTGTGTTTAACTGGGATCCGAGAGAAAGATGAACAACTCAGGGCTGGTAATAAAGCAGCAGGGAGGCTGGTTTCTGGCAAAAGCTAATACTCTCATTAAAAGTCTGATAAAGCCTAACTCTTGACCTGTGATGTACATAAACCATGAAAGGCATTAACAAAAATAAATCAGCGGCTTTCAAAAGTCGCCTCTTAAATATTATGAAACTGATTTGTCAAAAGTAACCAGGATTTGCCCTTTTACCCAGTCTAGTTTTATGGTTATTACTCACAAGGCTGACCTCTTC